TTTTTATTTTATAATACTGAAACCTATGCCTATAAGTTCATATCATGAATAATGACTACACTCTATTTTATTGTTTCCTGCCTCTCTCTTTTTCTCTAATTACTTCATAGCAGACCATTTTATTCTTTTGGTGTGTTTCTCGGGCACTTTTAGATTTAGAATCAAGTGGCGAGAATTTTATCGATTTGGATGATTTAGTTTTTAAATTCCTCAAATCAATTTCAAAAAGAAAAAAAAAAATTGAAAAACTAAACCAAACAAGAATTTGATGAAGCTGAACCAACCAAATTGAAATTTAATTGGGTTTAGACTGTCTCATTATGAACAAACTGAAGTTTAATTGTTGGATGGAGTTTAATTATGTAAAAAAATATAGAAAAATGCATGCATTGCATGAATAGTATTGATTTAATTTCATGAATATTCCATTTTAATTCAAATTTATTATTTTTTGTTTGATTAACAAACTCTCATCATATGACTCGAATCTCGAAATATTATACTAATCTGGAGATATTTTATGGGTAAAAAAATGTTCAAACCCAAATTAGAAATCCTTCAGAAGTCTTTTTTTAATATACTTAAAGTTAAATGGATTGGCTTGTCAAGGCAGACTCAATTACACTGAAATTGGCTCAATCAGAGTCAATTCATTCTCGGACAATGTCGTTAAACAGCTTTTAAAGCTTTGGGTAGCTAAATGAAGAGTCAAATGTATTTAAAATCTGGCAGACTTATAGTGAAATAGAGTGTCTTAAGAAGTTAAGTCAAATGCGCTTAAGATTACTCAATTTCAGTATCGTCGAGACACCTAAATATCCATAAAATGTCATTTAATTAAAAGAATCTATTCGGGTCGTCCGATGGAGGGGTTTGAACTACTTTTTTATTTGCAGGGAGTCTACTCTCATACTCTGTAAATAGAGTCATACCCCTTCATGAAAGACGTCATATATCTTGAATTGAAGGAATAGTTAGACCTGGAGTTGGTTCTAGAAGGAATCAAATTTTAGTGTCATCTAGGTCCAAGACCCAATAAAACTTTTCACTCTTGTAGTTACCGACCATCTTTTGTCACTTTTTGTCGGCTACCTTTAACCACCATCAACATCCCCCTACTCGTAGAAACAAAGGCACTTTCAGAGTCACGGTGTATGCAACAAAGTAACAAAATATCATGCTGAGTAAAGACAGACTTCACAGAGTAATGAGACACCCTTTGGAGTAGTGTACCATCATGAACACGGACCAACAATCCACCAAAATCCCGATAACTACTCTCAGCTACAGTTGCTCCACCTGCTACTAATAATTGTACAAAAAAAATATTTTACTTACAATCATTGTACTTTGAGGAACTGTATAATATTTTCTCTTTTGTGAATAAGATTTTGTGTACTCATCAGTTTATAGTGGATTGTTTTGACTGGGTCAGACCATGAATATATATTTTTTGTGTTTTTAACGTAAAAATTACTAGTGTCTCTACCCGTCACTTCAATTATCTGTGTGTGTTAGTCTTTCATGCAACCCTAAGACGTTAAATAATCATTTTGTCTTAGTGAATCTTTCGACCTTATTCAGTTAAATAAAAATTAAAATCGAAATAACCGAAAGTTAAATATTAAGATTGTTAAAGACAAAAAATGGAAATATATTTTCGGATCGACTTAATTTATATAAAAGACATAAAATAATATTAATTCAAACAAGTGTTATAATAAAATAACAAATATAACCAGAAAATAAAAGATAAAAAATAATAATTTATTTGATATAAATTATTAAAATATAACTTTTAAATTTTTTTTAATAATTTAAACATAATGTTTTGAATTGTATTTTATTTTGAAAATATTTTTATCTTATTATTATTTTTAAAGCCGGCTCACGAGTTAAGAAGTAGAATCATTGGGTATATATGTAAATTTTCCATTTACATTTTGTTACACGTCATTTTCAAAAAAATATATAATAATTTTTTATGACCGCTCAATAATGGAGTCAAGCGGCCCCACTTTTCATTCTACCGTGGTTTTCCATTTCGTCTCTTAATTAATGCCCTCATGTTAGCCCGCCACGTGGCGCCATATCGGACCATAACTTGATAATACCGTTGGAAGAGACGTTTAGAGGAGGATAAGCTTGGATAGCTTGTTTCTAGGGCAACCCATTATAATTCATTTGAATTAATATTTAATTATTGATAATTTTTTATTTAAAAATAAATAACTTGTAATATATTCACTAAAAATAAATAATTATTTTTTTAATGTAATCCAATGATCTTGCTCTAAGAATCATTCAATTTAATTAATTTAAGCAATTTTACATTACAAAATTAGGCAATTAATCATCCATTTATTTAGATCATCTATTGGGATAATTTATGGCCAAGTCATTGTCATATTCTATGAATTTTTCTAATTTATTATGTTTTAACTAGATAACATGATGAATATTAGAATAATTTTTAAATGATTAATTAATATAATGATGATGCAAATATAATATTTTTTTATCAATTCAATATAGGTTATTTTTTGAATAAAATTAATTAATTTTTTAAATTAAAACTTTATGGCATAATAATTTCTCAAAATTTAATTTACTTTTTTCATACATCAAATCAAAATTTTTAAAAAATTAAATTGATATTATTAAAATCAATATTGATTCACGTGTTTTTTTTTTTTTTTGACTAGTTCGATCTAATTCTCTATGAAGATAAATTTGAGCTTTTACTAAATCAATCTCAAGATTGCTTTCTGATTGAGCCAATTGTTCGATCCCATTTTTAAAGCCTATCATTTTTATAATATAAATCAAGTTGATATATTTTTTTTAATTTTTAATTAAAAGAAGTTAGATTTTAAGAAACTTAAAATTATTTTTTATAAATATAAATTTATATATGTGTAAAATGCGTAAATTCTACACTTTAAGATCGATAAAGTTTATATGCATGATATTATAAGACAAATCAACATAAAATATTATTGATAGTGATGCGTGCTAGAAAATTTACAGCAGTAGAGTAATAGATTATCATGTTAACGTGCACGAGAATTCAACACACACTCGAGTTAAAAAAAAAAACAACCAGTAATGACATCAAAAATTTTTGGGTAAAAGATCCGTAAAGGAAAAAAATCACGGGACCTGACTCAAATGTAAGAATTCACTGTAGGTTGATGATTACAGAGACCTATTGAATCTTGGACAAGAAAGAGTTACTAGGTTTTCCAAGTTACAACGTTGACTGATGACTTCCGGTCGGTGATGATCAATGTTGATCAGTGGTTGATGAAAGTCGGTGATGGTTGATGACGACAGTAGTGTACGATGGTGGTCGGTGGATGTCGACGGAGGTCGATGGTGGTTGACGGGGATTAATGATGACAGGGGTGGTGCTGGACTTCAGCTCCTTAAAGGTTTAAGTTCTCTCTCAAAATTTCAGCCCCCTTTCATGAGAGGGTGAAACTATATTTATAATGTTCTGGGTGTAATTAATGAGAACTGTGAACCACTTTGATCTGACAGTCCGGAGTGCTTCTTTCAATCATAAAATATTTGATGGACATTTGAGTGCCTTAACAATATTGAAATTGAGTAATATTGGACTTGATAGATTTGACTTTTCGAGACACTCGATCCGACTACAGGATTGTAAGATTTGACTTTCCTTTAAACTTCTAAATATGTTCGAAAAATTTAGAGGAGTGATTTAATGACTTGATCTGAGCTTGATTTGAGATTGAACTAATTTTGACAATATTGGGTTCTTCTTGTTGAGCTGGTCAATTCAACCGTAAATTTGCTGAAATTTGAGTTATAGATGAATTTTTATAAAGACTCGAATGTTTTCTGCTAAAAAAATTGTCACCCAATTTATGCCGAATGAATGATGGAGAAATGTTGGGATATATCATATACACATGGAGACTAGCATTATAAAAAGTTTATATATTACATAATTAAATACATAAGCATGTGGTATGTTTTAACAAATTTTTTTTTTTAAGATGTAGGTTGATGGAATGTCGTGTGCAAAATAAAATTTCGCTTAAAAGAATTTCTAGAAACTTACCCTGTAAGCGGCGCCTTTGATCCATAATGAGCTCGCAATGCCGGCTGTTCGTCGATTTGCTGCACCCATCTTCGTCGCCACCATGCTCTTCTCCTGCTTGCCGGCCGGCCGATGCCAGGACAACGGCGTCGGAGATGGATCCACAGTGGCGGCGCCCCACTTCACTCAGCTAGTTCGTGAACTCTTCACGAACTGCAGCAAGAGTTTCACCGCCGAGATCGTCCATCGATGATCCGTACGAACGCTAACCCTTGTTATATATATACTCGTAGGGTTATTAAGCGGGGGACTGACGACGGAAGTGATTGGTTTTCAGGGAGATGGACTGAAGCGGAGCGTTCAACTTCTCGGTGGATCTAGGTTGTTTTTGGAAAATTGTATCAAGCAGATTAACGGTATGACCGGCATTTGTGGGAGACATCAGAGGGTTAAGATTTCTATGCTTGGATTTTGTTCTATGGATTAAATGAGCAATGCTTTTTAAGATTTGGCGTATAAAGTTTCCATGCTTTTTTTTAATAATGTATGGTACTTCCTTCTTTCGCTTCCTCCACAACATATGTCGGGAATTAGGCAACCATGATATTGTATACAGCTGCCAACTTCGCAGCTGGTACTGTCTTCCACTGCATTTGCACTCTTGTTTACCTGGCTTGGCTTGGGTACTTATTTGTTTACGCTAGTGAGTCAGCACAGCTGCTGAAGTGTTAGGTGACGTGCAGGGAAGGGAGGATGATGGGATGATCAAGGGGATAGTAAAATTATAATAAACATATTCGAGTTTAATTGTCCTTATTTATACGGAGAATGATCCTATGATTACTTGAAATTTAGAATACATTGACCTTTTATAGTGAATAAGGCAAACCTCGAATCCTTGATCAAGAATTCCTCGCAAAATGAGGGTAAAATTTGCGGTCAGTGTCTTATCTACAATACAATCAACCTTTTGAAAATTTGACCATCCAAAGCTTTCTCAACAAATAAAATAAAAACAAAATGCAGTGAGTCTCTTGGGGAGCGGTCGGAAATTTTGGAAACTGCACTGAAATATCATTTAATACTCTTTCTCCTAGAAGATGTAATTGTTCTTGGAGAAGATACACACAACTTATAACCCGCAGATATGTTGACGAATGTGGTAATTATTGAGAAATTGAAGCTATGATTGACTTCAGTTGAATTTTATGAAGGTTGAGATCGGGCGTGATTCACATCACAGTTCATGACTATGTAGGTGGTACAGATGGATGTGTAGATATGGACATGTACTGGGTTCAATCAGTCTCCAAGTTAGAAATTATTATGGTGTGGAGCTTGATTTGGAGCACCATATGGAAGAACCCGAGTGCCAGATGCTTAAGCTCAAAGTTTCGGGCGTTTTACCCTAGGTTGGGGGCTCCTACGTCCATAGAAGCAGGTTGGGTGCTCTTGCACCCACCTATCAGGTGCTGCAGGCGCCTCTTTTCTGAGGGACTGTTGCTTTAGTGCCCATTTTCGGGCGCTCCCGCGGCAGATGCGATTGCTTCTCATTTTCGACTTAAGAATTAGTTTAGAGCGACGAATAGATTTTTGTTCCAGCTCATGAGTTCTTCAACAAGTTTTCGTTGAATGATAGAAGTGTCGAAGAGGGGATTTCATGTAAATTTCTTTTGTCATATCGAAAGGAAGGATTTAGGGAGAACTGTTATAAGTTTATTCGATTGTAGAGAGGAAATTTAAATGTGTTCTCTGTAAACTTTCAAAATTTATAGTGAAATTTCTTGGTGGTGTGGCTCCGTGGTTTTTTTCCCATTATTAGGATTTTCAAAGTTAAAATCTCTTGTGTTTTTATGGATCGTCTTTGTTGTGCTTCCGTTTATAATTTTTTATGTCGGTTTTTTCGAATCTGTGCGATTCTATTTCATGGTGTGGTTTAGATTTAAATTGAATTGAAGCCATGGTAAAGTATAAGAGGATTGTTTCATCCCAACATGGTGTCTAAGGATTAGTCTCTGCTTGAGCTTGCTAAGCCGCTTCCTCCTCTCACGATTTAGAGGAACCTTTTTTTCAAACGAGTAAGAATGGCAAGCGATTATCATACTGGAGAAGTCTTTGGAGTTGCATCATATAAGGTTATGTTATTATAAATAAGATTCAAAATTGTTATTATTTAGACAAGTATTCACCTAGGGATAGCTTAAAATTAATATATTCATACCTTGTTAACAACCTAAGCGAAAGCTAAGATTACAATAAATGCTGCATCACAGAAATGAATGGCATAAAAACTTAAGAGGCAGATTTATGGGTTGATGATGATATTAATAATGGTAAAGTTAACAAACCTACACTACTAGGCAACAAAAGGCATACTCTCCAACACTCTCTGTCACCAACCAAAAGCTTCGGGGCCACCTTTGCTCTATATTCCATAGCTTTTACATATATAGGACATAAAAAATTGATTATATAGACTATAATTTTACTCTTTCCATTTCCCTGTAGGCTGCTTCATACGCTTTTCTATGTAGAGAGGAATGCTTCACTGGCTGCTACTGTAGTACACATTCTATCTTGGTATCAGAGCAACTAGGTTCTTCCCCAAATCCCTAAACCTCTTTCTTTCCCTCTTTATCTTCTTCTTTCCCCTTCCCCACTTACAATGTTGGAAACATCTTCCTACCCAAACCGAACAACCAACCTTGCCTCTCAGGAAATGGCAGATATTTCCTTTCCCTCATCCCTAAAGTTTATGATGTCCAACATTAAGGCCATTGCTAATGTCCATCTCACAGCCGAAAACTAGTCAACTTGGAAACCCCAAATATACAAACTCTTCAAGGTTGACGACTTTGAGGGCTTTCTCAATGGTTCAACAACCCACCCTCATCTATCGTCCTAAACTCAGTCGAACAAATAACTCCTAACACACAATTTTTATGTTGGTAGCTCATTAAGCAAAACCTCTCAGCTGCCATTTACTCCACTATATCTCCTACAATTCTACCATATATCCTTAACCTTGAATTCACCATGGAAATGTGGCAAACCCTCCAATGTAGACAACTTTCTGCAAACTGATATAGCGTCATGAAATGAGCTACACTACATCTCCATGAAAGATCAAATCATGTCTCAATACCTCTTGGTCATCAAATCCCTCGTTGACAACACCGTGGCTGCCAAAGGTCATATCGACCACGTGGAAATAATTTTCCACATCCTCAATGTCCTAACAAGCACTCATTAATCTTTTAAAACAACGTTTCACATCGGATCAGTCCTCATCAGGCTAGCGATCTGTATTCACTGCTATGTAGGGAAGATATTAATATTTCTGCCGAAATGCCAAGAAAACAAATGCTACAGCCATTGCCATGTTCACGATTTGTGGAGGGCACAATGACATCATGGGCCACGACAGTTGACCCCCCGGTTTTAGGCGGAACAACAATTCCAATCATTGAACCTGCCAAATTTGCGGCAAATTTGGACATGTAGCTCTCTAATGCTGGCATCGAATCAACTTCAACTCCTACCCCTCCACCAAAACCGATACAACACTCCTGATCTCAATCGACCCTAACTCATATGATTGGTTCCTCGACTTTGGTGCCACCAGTCATCTCACCTTCAACTATGACCATCTATGGCATGCCAAACCATTCCAAGGATCAAGTTCTATCATCACTGGAGATAGATCCGACCTCCCAATTACTCACACCTTTCAAGGCATCCTACCCATCCCTCAACGTAAGCTCTATCTTCCCAAGCTTTTTCTATTCCCATTCCTATCTCATAACCTCCTCTTTGTCCATCAATTAATTTCTGATAATAAATGTGACGTATCATTCACTAAATCTGGCTTTATTATCCAGCATTGGAGAACAAACAAAATTCTCCTCAGAGGACCTATCAAGAACAGTCTATACTTCATCTCAGCTTTCGGCGCCTTCCAATCTCCATCACCCATTGAACTATGACATCAAAGACTTGGACATCCCCACCATGCCATTACAACCGCTATCTCAAAGACGACAAATACCATAAATAGTTCCATCATTAAATTTTCTTGTAAAATGTAACTCTTCTAAGAGCCATCAACAATCATTTCCTATTTCTATTTTGGAGTCTAAAATTCATTTTGATCTAGTTCATTCTGATGCTTGGGTCCGACCCCTACCACTTCAATATAAGGATATAAATATTATCATTTTTTCATTGATGATTACTCTCACTTCACATGGGTATTTCCTGTGTTTTCTAAATCCGAAATAAAAGATAAATTCACATCCTTCCACAAAATGATAAAACTTAGTTCAACACAAATATCAAAGTTCTACGCTCCGACGATGAAGGAGAATATACATCACATTCTGCACACCAACCTCAACTCCTATGACATCATTCATCAATTCAGTTGCCCTTATACACCTCAGCCAAACGGTGTAGCCAAGCGCAAGCAAAGGCACTTAATCGAAACAACAAGAACCCTTCTCCTCACTGTTCACCTACCTTACAAATTTTGTACATCAGCTTTACTGGCCTCCACCTATCTATTAAACAGATTGCCCTCCAAGACCACAAATCTTAAATCTCCATATGAACTTCTCTATCACAAACCACCCATCTATAATCACCTTCGCATCTTTGGATGGCCCTGTTTTCCTTGACAAAAGCCTCAAGTTTCACATAAACTCACATCCCTAGTCCCACCGTGCATCTTCTTTGGTTACTCACAACCTAACAAATGCATACTCTCCATCACTCTCTGCCACCAAAAGAAAGCTTTCGACCACCTCTTGTTATGATGGAGCCCGGTCCGTCCAAACCGCCTCACTCCCGCTCCCGCTTCCCGCTCCCGCTCCCGATCGCGAAAAGTCACAATTCATCTCTGTTTCGCCAAAACAGCTGCTCCCGCCTCCACATTCGCGAAACGCCTCCTCTTTTCACCCGCAAAGCGAAGCTTCCCTTCGCTCTAGTCCTTTAAGTCGCGAACAGAAGAGGAAGAAAGGTATTGCGAGGTATCGCACGACTCTCCTTCTGATTTTGCACGACCATTTTTGTGTTTTTCTTCAGCAGTTCTGCTTCAACGGGACAGAGGAAGAGAAGTGCAAACAGTAGTTCCTTACGACAGAATGAAGAAGAAAGAAGAATATTGTTCTCCTTTAGCTTCTTCTTAGTGGCTTGTGGCAGAAGAAAAATTGAGTTTATTTCTCTCATACGTTTATCTTCTTCGTTGTATCTCAGTGAAGAGAGAGAAGAAGAGAGAGTGAGGAAGTGAGAGACTTTCTCCTGTAATTCTAAAGGATCGACTGTTGTAAATTCCTCAAGTAATAAAATTCTCTATAACTACGTGGACGTAAGCAAATTGTCTAACAATGTAAATCTGTGTGTTCCGCTGTGTACTGTTTTCTAACAATTTTTGTGTTTTTCTTCGGCAGTTCTGCTTCCACGGGACAGATGAAGAGAAGTGCAAGCAGTAGTTCCTTACGATAGAATGAAGAAGAAAGAAGAATATTGTTCTCCTTTAGCTT